TTAAAAAATTTTTTGCAACCCTACATACATACAAGTATATCTTCAATTTACTTTGAAAACCCAGTAACTATTATTATGGAAACTAAAAAACAGTTTAACTCCAATTTATATTTTTAATCTACGTGGTAATTTTCATTGCGCATATTTTCGAAATAACTTATAAATATGCACCAATAAATAGTCTTGCTTTCGAAGTTACTCTAACGCAAGTATAGTTAATCGCAAAACTCAGATCTGAGCAGAGGTACAGAAAATTCCCCCGAGTGTTGCGTAAAATAATATTCTCTACATGATTATTTCAATAAAATAATTTTAAACGAATTTAAACGGCTATAGTTGTTTCAAAAACTGTCAAGAGCACAAAGCGCATAGGAGATAACTCACTTATGCTGACATTCAGAATACCTGAAATGTCGGAAATATAGTTTTTATGCATAGACATTCTGTAGAAATCCAATAAATATAGCATATGCGTATACCATACAGCCTTTTCAGACACATTTCCAACAGCACCTTTGGAATGCAGGCTCCAATTTAAAAAGTCACCAATTTCACCACAACTCACTCAACAAAACACTCAACCAATTGAGCAACTTTTTCCAGCTCATTTCCCGCTTACTCAACAACAAAGGCCAACACAAAGGGAGTTTGCAAGCAGCTGCTTGCATAGAGAACACTCTTTCTCTCTCTCTGCCAAACGACAGCGCTCAACAATGGCGTCCAAGATGTCGTCGCCAACGAAAAGGTGTGGCCAAAGCGTGTTTCAATTGCCATTTCCTCCGCACTGCACACAGTAATCCAATAAGAAGACGATATCTACATGTGTGCGACTGTGTGAGAATGCGCGTATGTTGGTGTGTGTATGTTGCCTGTTGATGTTTTTTGGTTGAGTAAATTAAAATTTTTGTATGTAGTTTATTAATAAATGGAGAGTCACACCATGCCGTGCCGTGTCGTGCCGCACTGTGCCCTGAGCTGGTCAGGGTGAAGCCAGCCATGTATGCGTACAGGCCTGTGTGTGTGTGCGTACGCGCATGAATAGCAAGCGGCGAGTAGGAGCGCTTGGTCGATTATTTTGTGTTTCTATTATGCGTTCGTGTCTGCATGCGCCAATGGGTAAAAATCATGTAATAATTATTATTGTTATAATGAACTCATAAACAAGTTGCAACACGCATTCACATATATACAACAAAAAATTTATATTAATATAGTTAAGTGAAGAATAGCAGCTAATTCCACAGCATGTGCTCAATTTGTTGCAAGTTTGTTAAAGTAATGCTATTTTACTCAACCATAGTCAGCTTATTTTCTTGCTCCCTTCAGCGTTCAACAATTTCGCTTTATTTCCATTCATTTACCGCAAAATATATCTGCGTAAATATTTCTGTGTACACATTAGTTGTTCATAATACGAAATGCAACAGCATAAAATACTAATGGCGCACAAGAAAAAACAAATCGGGCAAACAATACAACTCGTTTATATCAACTTCATTAAAAACCAAGCAAATTGATTTTTTTCGCCACTTTTTTCTGGCAGCTGCTCGCATTTATGTGCTTTGTGAAAAAATTGCACAATTCACTTAATATTTATTACATTTTAAACAAATAAACACACATTCGCTCTCGCTCGCGCACACACGCACTCAAGGCATTCTTCGCATACGCTCATCGTTGCCACATTAGCAGGCAAAACAACAACTATTTCGGTGATATGCTCCTACTCGCACCACAAACCATTTGGGGCACTTCATTTAAGCCCATTGCTTTAGTGTGTGCTTTGTAGGTTCATAAGTATATTTGTAAGTGCATATGTATGTGTGTGAGCACCGTGTGCGCAATGTGTTAGAGAAGAGACTAAATATCAGCAGTCGAGTTTCAATAACTTAAATTAAAAATAAAATAAAATATTATAAATATTTTGAATAACAAATTTAATTGAAATTAATTAAGGGGTTATATAGATTTTACGGCTTGAAAAAAATGTTTTTTTTTTAGTGTCTTATTTAATTCTATACCATCTCTAGAATATTGTTCTAAGTTCTCAAGTTGATCTTAGTAATAGTTTTGGAGATACAGCTTTGAAAAGTTGCGCGCTCGCGGTCAGCTATATAGTCACTTAAAACTTTAAACGCGTTTTTCGCGAAATTGTGTTTTCAAAGTCGGTTGTTAAGATTTCTCACGAGCTACTCAACTGATCTCAATGAAGTTTTACACAGGTTTTGTAGTTTTTTTTTTCAATTACGACTATTTAAAAAACAAAAACGTCGAAAAATGTTTACCAAAATTTACATGTTTTTGTTATAATATCTGCCAAAAATACAATTTTGACTTAAAATATTTTTTTCCGTCCGATACTTAGTTACTGGTCTTAGTTCAAACACCTTTTTTGTTTTTTTTTTTAGTTTTGTTGATCCTGTCAAAAATTCTGCTGTCAACGCGTAAGCACCTGTTTTCCGAGTTACTGCCGGAAATGATTTCGTATTGGCCGATTTTTGAATATTTTCCTTTGAAAATTTGACAAAATTTTTATCAAATATGTATCTTCGGAGTAATAATAAATTTGAATAAAATATTTCATTTTTTATATGAAATAAAATTCTTCAAAATAGGTCGTTTTTTGCTTGACGAAAACCATGTAACCCCTTAAAACAACAAAAATAACCATAAGTGAAACTTAAATTCCTGCAGAACTCTTGAAGTTCTTATTTAAGTCCAAACACTTATCAACTTGTACAGCTACAGTGCCGTAAAGCACAGCCGACGACCATAAAGATTGTCGCTGTTAAGAAACATACGCTGTCAGGTTGCTAGCTAGTATGCTTCTATTTCACATTGTGTTTGTCTTGTAGAGCGCGGAGAGGAAATACTGGAGGCTAGAGCGAGCTTTCTATATAGAGTTTCATGCTTTGTAGTGCTCCTTCACTACTCCACTGAGCTATAGGTTTTAATATACAGTAGCGGACAAAAAAAGAGGACACCCTAGAAATGTGTGATTATTTGATTTTGTTTAAAAGCAACGAATTATATAACAAAATTTGGTATGAAACAAAATTTATATAAGTATTCCCAACATAAATAAATATTTCAGTTAAATATATGTGTATATAATTGTATCTTATGGAAAGTTTTGATATTTTTAAGCGTATTTTTTAAGCTTTTTTGTAGATGAAAACTGGTTTTGCGCTCCCCGCATAGAAGTTTATTTTTTTATAAATAATAAATAACGAGTGCAGCATGTCTATAACATTTTCTGATTTGCAAAGGTAAGGAATAAGCAAAGTATTATAAATTTTCTTGCTAAGCAGAGATTTTTTCAACAGTTAGTGTTTTTCTGTTTATTATAATAAGCTGGTACTCAAACCATCTTAGAAACATACTTCTTGAAAAGAACTTTCACATTCAGTCCAATATTCTACACTTTTTTCATATTCAAAACACACTGTCCAACAACCCAATTTTGCGACATGCATACATTTCGATTATAACGCTCCTCTCATCCGCCTGCCTTGTCGACATACAGATTCCGCTCGACTGCGTCCAACCGCCTCGCTAGCTCCTCCAATCCAAAATAGTGTATTTTAATGACGTACATAATAAAATTCCCATTCGTTTTGTGCCAATTCCATATAATTCCAACCTAACCAGCCAACTCGTTGTTGGCTGCCAAGCTCTTGCCGTTTATTGTTGCTGTTGTTGCTGCTGCTGTTGATAGTGATTTTCAAACACTGATTTCTCCACTGATTTACTTACTCGAACTACATTGAAAAGCGAGTGTGGCAAGCCTCCACCGGCCAAAGTCGTAATAAACATCGAACAACCCTTCAACATGAGTAAAATGAACAATAAAAGCAACAGCAACAACAACAGCAAAACGTCGTGTATGAGTAGCAAATTGTATTAGCTGCACTCAACAACAACAACAACAACGGTGGTAATGAGGCAAGGAGTTTGTTGCGCTCTCACTCGCGCTCACAGATTCCAGGCTTAGTTGAAGTACACACACGCACAACCATAGCGTTATTAACAACAATAACAACAAACATACGCTGAACTATGAGTCAATGCAGCAAAAATGTTGGTTGGCAAGCGGTGGAGCGGAAACGGAGGTGTAGGCAAAGCGGATTTGAGGAAACAAAACGCCTCAACTCCGATGTGTTCGTGTATGCGTGTGTTGGTGTTGTTTCATTGCTGCTGTGCTGGGATTTCAATTTCTTGCCGAGCAGTCTCTGGCTTATTGGTCTCTTTGTTATTGCTTGCCGAGTTAGCTGCCGTTGCGAACACCGATACAGCGACGGACAAGCGCGCCAGCTCAGTCGTCACAACGACGGTAGTCAATTTGGAAATCATTCTGTAGTCTTAGGCCTAATCATTCGGACGGTAAATAGTAACGCGCATGGACGTGTGAAGAGAATCGCTCAAATAATAATTATTTTTGAAAATTTCAAATCAAAAACGGGTTTTGAATAATATTTGAAAAGAAATAGTATCACATCGTCGGTTGAGTGCGCATAGCGACGATGTCGAACGGCTGAACTCTGGTCAAGTGTACATATGTGGTTTTCAATAAAAATGAAGTAAAATTTCTGAAAAATTTTAACTTTTGAAAATAAAAAAAGAGTGAAATAAAATAAAATAACAACAAAAAGCAAAATTAATAGCGCTTTGAGTAAATTTTAAACCATCAAACTGACTGTGACAGCCACTGTTTAGAATTCAATTACTATATTGTAATTCAGTAATTTGAGTAACAGCAGTGAATTAAAAAAAATATTCAAACTTAAATTTTGCATTTCCAAAAATATTACTTTCGAAAAAAGCAGAATTGTATTCATATTAGTTCTATTTTTCATAAAAAAATAATAATAATATAAATTAAGTGAATTTTAAATTTGAAAAAGTCAGAAGTGATATCGAAACTCAAGAAAAACAACAGTGAACTTGCCGTAACAAAAAATCATATATAAGTGTTAAATTTAATATTCCTGATCACCGGGCGCCCATCATTCACACTGGGTAGCCCTTATTTGCCAACAACGCCCGCGGGCCCTGAGAGCCCGAATGCAGCAACCGCCGTTGCACACATAAGCGCCGTGCAGCCGCTCCCGCCTACGCTACATGCCTACAACAGCAACCACAACGACACACCGCACCACAGCCAACATCCGCTGCAGTCGCAGAAACATTTCCAGCTTTCCGAGAACTCCGCTTTCAATTTAGCCGCTACAGCCATCGCTGGTGCCGCAGGATTTCCGACCAGCGCCGCTGCTTTCTATCACCGTCTCAACAGCTTTGCCGGCGCAAGTGAGAGCACAAGCGCCTCATCAACCGACTACTGCCTGCCAACGTACGGCAGTGAACAGCAGTTGCAGCTACCAATTGCACCAACCAACACAGACAACATGGATCTCATAAACCCCTACATGCGTCATCACAGCTTTGCCACAAGCCAGAGCAGTTCACCGTCGGCTATGGCCATGGCGTCTATGGCAAGTCGCAGTCCACCAAACGGCGCTGCTGGCTTGCACCATCATCTCCCAAATGCCGGCGGCTTGACGAATGGCTTTGCAGAAGCGGCCGCCGCTGCTGCTGCTGCGCATCACGATTATCAGAATTTGGCCGCTGCGGCAGCGAGTCGCGATCATTTGCTTGACTATCACAATGCGGCGGCAGCTGCAGCCTATGCCGCCAACAACAATAATCTTTCCAGCCCATTAATGCTGTTGAAAGCGCCGTCAAAGCAACTGCACAGCCACGAGGCAGGTGGCACCAAGTCGACGCGTTCGGCTGAGGACTCCTCCACACCGCCGCCTTTGCTATCGGCGAGCAGCGGTGGTGGCGCCGGTGCAGATCACTCCTCCATTGCTTCATCGTCCCGCCTGCAGTCTGAGTCGCCCGATAATTGCGCCAACTCGCTGCATCATCGCAATCGCTACGACAATAACTCCAGCCCCGGCGTTGATAGCTCCAAATCGTATCCGGTGAGTCAGCGTAGCGGTAGTGGTGGCGATGAGGCGGGCAATAATAGTGAATCGAGTCCGCCGCCGCCTGACTACAGTCCCGAGAATCTCTCAGCGAATCGCGTCAAATATGCATCTGCGTTGCAATCACATCACAACAATAATAACAACAATAACAATATTAGCGGTATGCATTCATTGGGTGTGCATCACAATAACAATAACAATATGCTGGAACATAAATTGCCATTGAGCTTTCTGGGGCCACCGCTGGCGGCTCTACACTCAATGACTGAAATGAAGACTGGCGGCGGTGCGTCGGGCATGTTGAATGGCTATGCGAATAATCAGCAGACGCACTTGATTGGTGATTGTCGCGCTGGTGTGGTGGGCAGCGGTATATCCGGCTCGATAACAACCACAACAACAACACATACACAAGGTGCGGCAAATCCGCATGGCATCGATACGATATTGTCGAAACCGCCGCCGGTGACATCGGCGGGTCTAAGTGCTTTAACGGGAGGTGAGTTGAACCGGAGACTTTAATTCCGCATTGTGGTTTCTGATTCTGAAAGACCTAGGTTTAGGTATTTAGATCATTTGAGTAAATACAATATTTGCGAGGATCATATTTCCGAAATGGTAGTGAAACAGCGCTTGAACGCACTACTATTTATGTAAGTACGTAGACGTATACATTTTGCGTTGCTCACAGAGACTATCTTGGTAAAATCCGGCTTCAGCGAAAAAAAAGTTTCTAAATGCCAAAAGAAAATCACTGACAAATATTTTATGAGCAATAATTTTAAACAGTAATTTGTGTTGTTAGCTTAAATTATTTAATACTTTTTCGAATGGAACAACAACAACAAGTCATTAAATTTTTTCACGACTTATTATCTAATATTTATTGTTGTCGCATTTGAAATTGTCAAACAAGTTCGTTATATTCACTAAAGTATTGCAGCTTAATTAAGTGGTGTTATTGAGTGACAGCGCCCGCGACAGCAAGCAGGCGAGCGACAAATGGTTGGATGACAGTGCGTTCAACACATTTTCAATATTATTTTGATTACAACTTATAACTAATTAAATAAGTGACAACAAATTAAATTACAACAAAACGAAATGAGGCGAGGCGAAGCAGACCAAATCGATTACATCAAGGCGTTAACTATTATATACTTACATATGTGAATAGATATATAAATAAATATATACACAACAACATGTGTAGTTGTAAGTTGTAATAATAGAGTTAATTGTGGTACTGTAGGCTCTACTATGGTAGTCAACATTGACGAGTCTGAGCTCTCACGGACAAAAATTTGTTAGATTTCAGTAAGCAGACTCATACCTACACACAAATTCATAGTTGCTGCAGACAGTCGACTTTCTTTTAATTTTTCACTTTCTTCTCGGTGGCTAGAACCGTTTGATACCTATACTAGGGTGGAGCGAAAAAAAATTTTTTCTCAAGGGTAAACTTTGTAGATTATAAAAAAAGAAAATGTTTGGTAAAAAAAAAATTTTTAACATCTAGAGGCGGCTTACTGACTTTTAAAGTAAATTTCGAGTAAAATTTTTTTTTTGGTTGAAACTCTTCACATTTATATAAATTTGACTCAAAATTTACTTTAACTTTAAGCATGTTGTCGTTTGAGACTTTTTTTTAAAACTCCAATAATGACCACAATAATTTGTTTTAAGTTGATAACTTTTAATTGGCCAGAAAGAGAACTCTCCACAGCTTCTAGAACACTTATCAAAAACCTTTTACGAAATAAAAATTTTAACTCGAAATTTACTTTAAAAGTAAACTTTTTACTTTATTATACTTAACAATTATAAAGGCCTGCTCACAACCTTAACGGTTTTACTAAAAACCATTTTTTGGTAAAAAAGAACACAAATAATCTATGTAAGTGAGATGTGGGAGAAAAACTCTAAATGAACCATGAATCCAGCTACAAACCCTCTGTCGGACATAAATTCATTAATTTATAAGAACTGCAAACCGCCAGCAGCTAGGTATAAAGCATATTATAGTAATTATATGCATTATTAATTTCAACAAAAATAAAAACCCATTATGTAGGACATATTCAATGTTAAAAGCAAGTTTACAAATAATCAAATATATAATTAACTCTTACTATAAGCTTCAAAGAGCGTTCTATTTCTTCTCTGGCGTTCGTCTTGATATTGTAAATTGCTTTTAATAATAATAATAAACACCCAACGATTACACTCCTCTCGCCCAACTGTCGCGAGGGGCGCAATACGCAAACGTGCGGAATTAGCCGAGTGAAAAAAGGCAAGAAGTTCTTTAAGTGTTGAGATCCAAAACTGCTCAGCTACAGAAATAAAAAAATTCAAAAGCTAAGATTTATTATTACGATATAATAAATTGTTACATTTTTATTGATTAAGAGAAAGCAATAAAGCATTTTTAATTTTGAAAAGTGAGTCAGATAAGTCAAATGTGCTGAAATAAGAATTAAAATCATGACATATGCGGCGGAATGGTTCGTTTAGTTCAAAATTTGATCTACAGGATTTTAACAGTAAAGGTCTAAACTGCTTTGTTTTTAAACAGACGCTAACTTGTCAGAATGGTTTTGGTAGCTAGGGTTCCATACAACAGAGCCATATTCCAATATAGGGCTAACCAAAGTTGTAAAAAGTGTTTTAGTAATATACGGATCTCTATGATATGATATGAGAATCGAAATATTTACTTTATCGAAAGCTTTGCCAAAGTCTGTGTATATAACATCCGTATGCTTATGTTATCTAAAACCCAATGATACATGGTTTACAAATTCAAGCAAGTTTATTAGAGTAGATTTCCTTTAACATAATCCATGCTGAGATGAGGAAATTGACGGAGAAATCGAAAAGTTTAGGTATAACTAATAGTTTTGCAATAATTCTATAGTTTTCAATGTTGGACATAAATCCACTTTTATGTAAAGGGATTATAAATGACTGTTTTTATATTGAAGGAAATATGCCGTGTTCAAGAGAGGAATTAAATATCCTTGTCAAAGGCAAGTAAATATATTTGGCACAATTTTTTAGTAAGCATGAGGGTATCATGTCAGGGCCGTAATTAAAAAATGGTTTTAACTTATTTAAATTAAGTAAGGCGTCTTCATCAGAAATAATTGGAGCGTACATTAAAGTATTCGGACACAGCACGTGCTGATAGGAAAAAGTTTTAGAAGAATTATTAGAGTAGTTTAAACTGAAAAATTCTGCAAACGTATTGGATATAATATCCATGTAAATTCAAATGATAGATTTGTATTTCACAGCGGACGGAAATTTCATAGCTAAAGTTCAATACATAAACCGTTTTGTAATTTATGGAAAGAGTGGTCTCAATGGATATAAACCTTACACATATCTTCTTTATACATATATCAGATCAAAGATCTAAAACTTTAAAAATTATTCAAATTATTAAAAATAAGTAGTAATTAAAGTCTGGAATTCTCTACACATCGATCTAGATCCACATAATATACATATATACTTATTATCGAAAATCCAGCTTACTCTTACTAATATACCCTCCTTACTTTCAGGTGGCATACCGCGTTTCTCCATAGCCGCCGCCGCTGCTGGTATGGCGCAATACTTGTCGCAAAGTCAAGGTGGTCCCTTGAAGACGCACGCTGGCCATATTGTAGAACGAACGCATCTCTATTGGCCGGGTCTGCAAGGGTTGGTCGCGAATCCAATAGCGTGGCGTGAAAGGCTGTCGAATACGAGTAAGTTTGAAATTATTAATAATCTATAGTAAGCAATAATTTAGAATGAAAGTGTCGAGTTAGAAAAAGATGAAATATAAATAAGTATTATTTCAAGTTGTGTACATTCTTCCGGATTTGCTAGCGTTGCAACGGCTGCATAAATATGTAAAATTTGTAAAATATTGCGTATGAAACTAAATAAGTGATATAAATGTGCGCTTCAATACAAAGTGCAACTCGCATATTTTAGCGATTTGTTGTCTGCCAAGCCATGCGTGATGTTCTTTTGCTGTTTTGAAGCAAAACTTTGTAGTTGGTATATAATAGGTTGTAATTGCTAACTCCAAGTTAATAAATTAGTATGCATGTGGTATGTACGCAGCATGATTTTTTTTTTTTTTTGTATAAATAGAGGGATGCAGCAAAAGCCGTAGTGCAGAACTTTAATCCGCTACACCTACTCTAGACTCTCCTACGGAACCATAGATTAAGTATTACTTCGTGTTACTTAGCATGATAAGGAATATTGCCATGTTCATTTACACAGTTTAAGCACTTTCGAAGTAGCTCATTACAATTATGCAAAAAAACAATAAAACAATATTTAAAACTGCTTTTGAAACAACAAAGTGATTCTAACACAATCAAAATACGTCTGACACCAAAACAACAAAAATATCGCTCACAAAATTAATGAGGTAACCACCGTAAGCCACTTTAAAATCGCTTCTGCACTACAGACGTGGCTACCCACAGTTCATTAACAAGTGTGTTGTTGTCAATTCCGTTGTATGATTATTATTTTCACAAAGTGTTATTGTTGTTGATTTTTGCTTTTGTCATTGATCGCCTCCGTTGGCAGGAGTAAATTAATATTTCATGTGCCTGTCAATGCCTTCAAGCGAAACCGAAGTGAAATCAGAATGAGAGTGGATCGTGCATAAGTGCAGCCAACAACAACAACAGCAGAAACAGCAGCAGAAATGCATAGCTGATAAGTGCGCAACGCATCAGTGTTCGCTGCCTACAGGTCCCATGGATGAGCTAAAGCAATTGGAGACTGCGTCAGTTGTTGTTGCATTGGAACTTGCTCTTGTTATTGTTACTGTTGCTGTTGTTGATCTTGCCAGCGCTAAAGCAAACAAATGCGCGATGATGATCTGCAGAATTTCGAGCTGCTCCCGTTGTCGTTGTTGTTATTGTTGTTTGTTTTAGTTGTGGTGGTCGCGCATGTCTAAGCTGTTGACAATGGTTGTTGCGTGTGTGTGTGTGTGCTGGTGCTGTGCTTTTAATGAGTGTGACAATGCAGCAGATGCGTCAGACGCACATTCTGGCTGCTCCAACGGTTGTTAAAGTTATTTCGGTTATTTATTTATTAATTTTATTGATTTATATGCAGAGCGTTGAAAATTTCTTGGCAGACAAAAGTCGAATGCCAAGTCATCGCATCAGGCACAGCTCGTCAACGCATTAATGAATCAATGCAAGGCAAATGCGTGAGTGAGGAATAACAGTAACAACAACAACAACAACAATATGGGTTATTAATACAATTTTACTGTTGTTGACAGGTGTTGATCATTAGCAGCACCAATTGTCATCGCAGTGTGTCAGTTAACTTTGCACACACACATGCTTCAAATGCATCGCTTACGAATATATGCGCGCACACATACATACATACTACCATATATTCATATAAAATAGGTATTGTGCAATGAATTAAAAATCATTGTTATTATTGTTATACACTTTTTTCATAATTTTCTTTAAACGCATTGTAGTTGTTTTTGCTGTTTTTCACTCTGGCATTGATCAAGCATCATTAACTAGACCAACGCTGCGTTTGTGCCATATTTTTATGAGCGGAAATATCTTCCAACTTTCTTGCTTCTTGAGTTATTCCTGTAATTATCTCCATATTCGCTTGTATGACGCAGACATTTGTGTCTGTTGGTGTCTCCAATGTTAAAATTGCCATTAAATTGCATTGATTTTTGAAAGCTGATTTTTATTTAGTTTTTTTATAGCCTGAACAGTAGGGTGGAGCAAATTTTTTTTTGTTTTTTTTTTTTTGCTTAGCCTGAGGGTACAATTTGTAGATATTTAAAAACGAAAATTTTTGGAAAAAAATTTTTTTTTTTCTAACATCTCACTCACTTTCAAAGTCAACTTCGAATTAAAATTTTTATTTCGTAAAAAATGTTTGAAAAGTGTTCTAGAAGCTGTGTAGAGTCCTCTTTTTGGCCATATTTTATCATTATAAACGATAAGATGCTTTCCTTAAGCGTTAAAATAAATTTGGAGTCAAAAATCATCAAATTCGGTAATTTTTATATAAATGTGAAGAGTTTAAAGTTTTAGAGATATCGTTCCGAAATTTTGTACACATTTTTTTCTTCTTAAGAAGCTACTCATTTGTTGGAAGGGCCAATATCTGACTACTATAGCATATAGCTGCCATACAAACTGAACGAACAAAATTAAGTCCTTGTATGGAAAACTTTTTTATTTGACAAGATATCTGCACGAAATTTGGCATGAATTATTACCCAAGTTAGCGCAACAATCTTCGCATATATTATTCAGATCGGACCACTACAACATATAGCTTCCATACAAACTGGCCTAGCAGAACTCTTTTCCAAATATCCTCATGAAGGTTATTTTGTGATATTTTACTTGGATTCAGATAATGTAAGCTTTAAGTATATTAATTTTTTTTTATATTATATATACTAAATAAATTAATTTTGAGATTATATAAACTAAATACGGGATTCAACAAATTTCATAAAAACAAATAAAAATTGTCTCCATTTCCACTTCACTTTACTTTCCTAAGCACGCCATTTCGCCCCATTGTGGTTGCTCCACTTACAAGCAAGCAATCATCGTCAACAGCAATATATGGTATATATTTACATTTAAACAAATTGATAAACGTTTATGCGATGGTGTGTTAGCATCGTGTACAACATGACAAGCAACATGCGCATAAACAATGCCAGCAGCAGCAAACAAATAATAGCAACCACTACACATAAACATAGCTACATACATGGGTGTGTATGTGTGACAGGCAGCGCCTGTACCGTTTGCGGATTTATTGTACGAAAATGGCTTTAAGAATAAGAAGGACTAACTTGCTGACTGACAGACGCACGAGAAAGGCAAAGCTGTAAGCGGCAAAGTTTGTAAATGTGGCAGGTGGCAGCGCGAGGAAGCTAGCTTATACGGGCGGCAACCCCTAAAAGCAGGCTAGATAAAGGCACGAAGCGAAAATGACTGGCGAGTGGAGCAAACAATTGTGTGTTAAAGGAGATGCTGCAAAGCAAGCGAAAAAGGGGGAACTGCTACAACAATGAAAATAAAATGCTAACACTCGCATAAATTCGTATTTGTATGCGTATGTCTGTGTGTGTGTGTGTGTGTGGCAAGAACATATGTATAAATATGTACTTCCGTATAATAATGTGGCAGCGAATTTCACTTCATCGCTTCACGTAACGGCGCACCGGCTGCCTTTCCAAGTGCTTGCTCTTCTTATTGTTGTTGTACTTGCTTTTCTGTTCTTTTTTATGCAAAGCGACAACAAAGGCACTGCTTTAAATGTCTGCGTTGCCATCGCAACCGACGTCTTACGGCTGGGCTGACTGTCTGGCTGGCGAATGAAAAATGCGAAAATAACAGTAAACTGTGGCGATAAAACGGAAACGGAAATAAAGTGTTGCACATGCACATACATACCAACAGTTCCACATGCCTACAAGTAGTAAATAAGCAAATCACAGACATTTCAAATAAGAGCCAGCAATTCGGTCTTTCATTGTTATTGCTGTTGTTGTTAGCTTTTATTTTCTCATTTATTTGTTTCTAATTTTTTTGTTTTGTTTATTAAAAAGCGGAAAGTGGGTGAAAACAAGTTGAGGGACGTAACAATGCTTGGCAAAGGCAAAAATAAGTTGTGCAAAATTCATTTGCAACTGTAAATATAATATGCAAAATATAATTTGATACATGTGCTTATGTTTTCTGAACACAATTGTGGCCGCACAGCTGACGCGCATGAATTGCGAAATTTCGTTAGAAAATTAGAAACGAAAAGTGCCTGAATATATATAGGTACAAGAGTAGGTGCGTGATCGCAATTCACATACATGTATACATACATTTATACCGTTTATATATACACATACATATATGTGTTACTGAAAAAAAATTTTTTTGCTTAGCCTGATATAATCTGCAAATGATTATAAAACAAGAAAATTTTGGAAAAAAATTTTTTTTTAACATTTACTCCCACTACTACCCACTCACTTTTAAAGTAAATTTCGTTTTAAAATTTTTTTTTGGACAAAAAAATTTTTGATAAGTGTTCTAGCAGCTGTGGAGAGTCCTCTTTTTAGACAAGTAAAATGCCAACTTAGAAAAAAAATTTGTGGTCATTATTGGAGTTTTAAAAAACAAGTATTAAGCGACAACATGCGTTTCTTAAGCGTTAAAATAAATTTTGAGTCAAAAACCGTCAAATTCGATAATTTTTACATAAATGTAAAGGGCTTAAACCACAAAAAAGTTTTTTTTGTTCAAAAAAAATTTTAACTCGAAATTTACTTCAAAAGTGATTGGGCCGCCACTAGATGTTAAAAAAAATGTTTGTTTTTTTTTTCTAAAAATTTTCTTTTTTTTTAATCCACAAATTTTAACCTGAGGCTAAGCAAAAAAAAAAAATTTTTTGTGGTGGTTGATGTGCAGGAACGATGCGCACGCGGTGGCTGCCAGCAGGAGAAGAGGCCGTTAATCGTGTTGTATCGTCTTTTATAATAACAGCAGGCGTCCTCGAGCCTAACTGTTGACTATGTATTTGCTGTTCCGTTTTGTGTCGTATTCGTTTCAGCGTTCCTTGTAAGCCAGGATCATGACTTGCTGACATGGTGTTGCATGTTATATTGTTATATAATTATATTGTGGCTCATCCCACAAGACTCCCCTTCTCGGAGTACGTTATCGAA